TAGGTGGGATAGGTCTCGCTCAGCCTGTCTTTATCTATTAGGGTTAAGGAAGAGGGATTCCAGGGCCTTAACATAGCCTATAAAGCTAAAGAAGATACTCTTAACTTCCTCGCTATATTTTTTAATAGGGTTATTAAGCTATTCCTATTAGAGGGGTTTGAACTAGGTAAGGGCTTATCCTCAAAGGAAAGTAGCTGCATATATAATGCGTTTAGTGTTGTTCTGGAAGGTGTTTATATGGAAGGCCTGGTAGGTCTGAACCTATACCAGGTGTCCTTTGAGTTGTCCTGGGGTTCTATAGAAAGTGGAAGGCGTGTTGAGCTTGAGGCGTTCTCATCCTTCGACTGGAGCGGATATGATGTTGGCGGCAGCTTAGAGGGTTTGGACTTCTTTCTCAAGTTCCTAAGTCTTGCGGGCTTGTTCCTAGAGTTCCTTTAGGGTTGCAGTATTCTGGTTAAATATGTTATATTTTTTTTGAAGTTGTGGTTAATTTTATTAAGCTGTTGCTGAGATTTATCAGTATCATCCTTGCTGCCTAAGTCGTCCTTCATTTTCTAGTCCTTAATTTCTTAGGCTAGGTTCTAAGGGGCTCTTCCTGTAGAGGTGGATGAGGATCCAGGGGTAGGAGACTTAACAGATGCGTGGGAAGATATTCTATACTGTTTAGTAGGTATTAATAGTTAACTTACTAAATAGGAGCAATTAAAGTGTTACAGTCAGCTATCTAATAGTAGGGTCTGCTAATAGAAGCTAGGGATTAATATGTTCTAATAGTACACTAGGTTGTGGTTATAGGTTGTAGTTTGTAGGCTGTAGTAAATTAGGTCTTTAGAGGCTAAGGTGATCAGTTAGTCTGGCCAACTGATCACTGAGCGCTTCCTTATGCGCTCCACTGACTGTGTCCTTATCTTATCATCACATGACTTATATCATAGTTCTTCCGTTTCCAAGTGAGTCCCTGTTGTTCCCATGATCCTGCAGAGTACAAATATCCTGTCCTAGCCGCCCGACGCCCAAGTAGGTCAGTCAACTGTTATCCATGCATAACGGGTCGTAACAGCACACTTTTCCTCATATTTCAAACATCATATAAGTTTTTACAACCAGAACGTAGAAAATCAATTAGCTCTCATCAGAATCTGATTCACTAGATGATTCTACATCTTTAGAACACGTTTGCGCATTATGGCCTGTCTTGCCGCACATACTGCAATGCTATTAAGCTGACTAACCCTTCTTCGACAGACCCCTATCTTCACCTTCTTAAGGCGTTAGATGTTTCTTTTTGCCCTTTTCTTCTAGGATAACCTAAGATTCTGCTATGCTAAATGCTCCTCTAAGCTGGATATATATCTTTTTTGCTCTCTAGCGCTTAGTAAGCGCTATATTAGCATCCTAAAGTATATATATTTAATTTATTAAAATTATAATTAAGTATGCTATTACCTATATACTTTTTGCTAGTTAGTTAACTACTTTAATTATTAGTGTTAGAGAGCTTTTTTAATAGGCTGAGATCTAAGTATTAATAAAGTTTAACTATAAAAGCGCTTTATATTAGTTAGAAGGTGTTTATAACTATTAGGCTGGTAGTATTAAGGGATTAGTTATAGGAGGTGTAGGTGTTTATATATATATATTAAGTTTCTTAATTATATAATTTAGGTCCTATAGTAAAATATTAGCTTTATAGAAAGTAGATTTAATATTTTTATTTATAAAGATCTTGTTATAAGCCTTATAAAACGTAATAAAGAACTTAGACTTTATAATATAATTAATAGAGGATTTAATAAATAAGTTGATTTTATCTCTATATATATGTTTTAAAAGTGAGTATAGCATAATATCTAATAGCTAGAGTAAGTGAGATAAATACAGAGGTATACTAATAGTTATAATATTATTCTACTTATAGTATTTATTAAATTCAGCTGATAAATAGCTTTTATATCTATTAATTATAAGCATCTAATAGACACCTTTTGTATAAGCCTAAATATGCTTTTTGAAATACTTAATCTAGTCTAGGCTAATTTTATTATCAGTCTATCTATTAGTAGTTAGTTTAATTACTTAGTTACTTAGAAAGCCTAATTCTATTAATTAGTTAGTAAGGTAATAAGACTTTTAAATAATTATAAAAAAAAAGATATATTATCCCCTTAAATTAATATACTTAATAACTATAGCATATTTATAGTTATTAAGCTGGATAGATTTTGCTTTTCTATATCTATCAGCATATATAATAACTATTAAACTAATAATAACACCTATTATAAAGCTAATCTTATCAAAATTATATAAATCCTTATTATTAATATTATATTTAGCTATTATATTACCTAATAATATAAACCACTTTAAAATAACCTCTAGGTCCTCTTAAAATACCCTTTAATAATTATATAGATAATTAAATATAGTCTTTAGAGTTAGCTATAAGTTAATAAACCTCTTAGCCTAATACTTCCTAACAGATATCCTATTCTATATCTACAGCAGGAGATTCACTATATCTTCCACACTAGCAAGTTGCAGGGGAAATCCTCTAGAATCCTACTTAATAACATATTAGAAAAGTGTTTTCTCTTTAATCAGATTAAGTTTATATAATTAGGGCTGGATATAATTGCAGCATAGTTAATTATTCATTCTGTCACATAAGGTACTTTCAGGGATACCATATATCTTTACAGCGCCTCGCATACTAAGTTTATAACCTAGAGCATATGTCGATCAGATCGCCTCAATAGCAAGAATGATCTAATCTTCTTAGGTGTAAATCAGCATTGCAGTTATTAAGATATTACGCGTTAAAGGTTTAAGTGGCTGGGAATAACGCGCGTCATGGAAAAAGTGCGCGGCTGACTGATATGCGCAGCTGACTAGTGAAGTATGTTAACGCTATTACGCACCACTATATTAAAAATAAAATCTTTTAAAAGTCGTATTATGTTTATTATACCTAATTATAATAAAACATATATCGCTAGTGCAATCATAATAATATATATAGGTTAGTATATATTAAATATAATGTGAGAATAAGGTATATTATATTATTTCTTTTATTAATACCTTTATAATATTATATTAAGAAAAACATAAAAAAAGGCTAGTAATATATTAGTTAAAAGTAAAAATTAGTAATAACTACTTAAATACTTATGTAAAGGTTTTTAAGTTTTATATTTAGTTACTAATAAGTTAGATATTTTATTATTTATATTCTATATACTACTAATAACTTTTAACCTCTCAATAAGAAGTAAATAGAAAGTTTCTTATTTTATGATCTAGCTATCAGAACGGTACAAATATATAAAATTAACTCTAAATATATAAAAAGTATTATAATTAATAATATAAAGGAGTTCTTTATAATATTTTATTTTCTAGAGGTCTAAAAGATCTCTATATTCTTTTAACAGAATATAGATAAAATAGGAATTATAGAAGGAATATAATAAGATAATTTAGTATTAAGATATTCTAAAAAGCTTTCTATTTTTATTTAGAGTTTAAAAAAGTATATTTAGACTTATATTATTACATATATCTTAATAGATAGTTAGTATCTCTACTTCTTTATTATTTTTAAAGAGAAGATTATTTAGTAGTAATAGTTTCTTTAGAATACTAATAACTATAAGGGATAATATTTCATACTTTTAAAGAATAGCTAGATATTAAATAATATTAATATTAAGTAGCTAGAGAAGATATTTATCTTATTAATAACTATAGAATAAGAATATAATATTTAAAGCGTTTTCTTATTATAAATAGTTATAAAAGCTATATCTCTAATAGTTTTATATAGAAATACTATATAAATAATGTATATTTAGCTTATTTACTTATATATTTATCTCACTTTATATAGCTCCTTAATATATTAGTTTTCTTTTTCTAAAGGGGTCTTATTAATAATAGATTAAAGAATATAACTACTTATTTAACTTAATATCTATTAATAAATAAAAATCTCTTATAATATTATATATATATATAGAAAGATATTTTTAAACTAGAGACTATAAAATCTAAGTAGAAAGTAGCTAAGATATAGCTAATTAATATAGTGAAACCTCTAATAAATAAGTTTATTATTACCCCTCTAATAGAAATAGAGAAAGTAGCTCTATAGTATAGAAAAGCCTTAATTACTATAGAAATATCTAATAATACTATTATATAAATACGAAAACCTAATAGTAGTTTATAGTAGTTTTAATAGCTTTTCTATATTAGATTAAAGTTATTAATATAAGTTAATAATAACCTTAATAATATATAATATATATTTTTCTTTAAAAAGCTTAATAAGTAGCTTAATTTTAATCATATAGCTATAATAGATAACTAATAAGTTGTTTTATTATTAAAGGCTTAAATTAAAAAAAAATAAACTAAAAAAAAAGCTTAAATTAAGCTAAAGCGAAACAAACACTTTATAACTATTAAAAATATTCACAAAAAGTAATAAGAGGTATAGAACTATCTAATTAAGTTAGAAATAGTATTAATTAATAGTAAATTATTAGATAATAAAGAGAGTATAAAATTATATATTAAAGCTATGGATTTATAGAGAAAACGCAGTTTATAGTAATATATAATTATAGGTTATAGCTGTAAAATGCATGCAAAAACGCGTTTGCGTTATGGGGGGTTTTTCGTTACTAGGGGTGGGATCTTAATCATTGACGATCATTCCGGGGACGGGCCGAGCGCTAGAAATACCTCACTGGGGAGATCTTGGTTCTAGATGAAGGAGGGATCGTAGAGAGCGCCTTGAGGTATGTTACAAGGCTTTCAAGAGAGGGATGTCTCATCATGCATTGGTACACTTCCCCTGTCACACTTCAAAAAGCAGTACATGCTACTTCCTTTTTCGAAAGCGGGTAATAAGATTGCTGGATATTCTAGAGACAAGGAACTACTCTTAGGCCGCACAAGAGCTCTATGCCATGGAGTTACGCTATTGTTGATCATTGTCCCTGGCGACCCAAATCAACCGCGCTATTCCTGTTACTACTGGAGAAGTATGGTCCTGGACTATATTGCGGAACGGGTGATATCGAATTAGGTCTCTGTTGAGCCTTCTGCTGGCTGAGTCTCTTGGCCTGACTGCCTGGGCTTACTGGAGAGACCTCGTAAGGCTGGATGAACGGCTGGCTTGCCTCAGGCTGATTCGACATAGTTGAGGGGTCATCTGCGCGGGCTGTCTTCCTTCGGCGCAGCACCAGCCATACGACGACGCATACCAGTGTGATGACTGCCACGCCACCAATCACGCCCCCGACTATCGCCCCTGTGTTGGCGTGAGATTGCTCCGACGACGAGGATGTTGTTGCCGGCGAGGACATCGAGGTTGCGTAAGTGGGGGAAGCGTCGTCGAATGCCGTTGCTGAGGCGAAAGTCACTGTTATTGATGATGAAAAGACAGCGTCCGTGATCTCGCTAGGGTGATTAACGAGAAACACTTGATTCGTGTACGTATCGTTGACTGCCCAAACGTCACGGTAACAGCCCTTCCTCGTTAGGTCTCTTCCTGAGGTGGTCTTTTTGATATAGTCCACACACAGTGGCAGCCGGCCACTTTCGGTATCCGTGCTACGAGCGGCTTCGTCAGCGAACAATGTATATGGGAACCGGCCATGGGGGTCCCATGAGATTGGGTTGGTTATACCAGCAACGAGTCCTTGCGTCTGGAGTTGAGTCCATGTTGCATATGGCAGCAGAGCCATTGTAACACTTGGTGAAGATACCGGTTCCACATCCGAGCCATGAATCAGACGTCAGGCAGCTTTGAGTATTTGCACAAGCAAACGGGCTTGGCAAGACTGGAAGAGGTCAAACTTGTACGTGCTGAAGTACCCGGCAGGAGAGAAACTCACATTCCAGAGGATCGGATACATATCCGCACGTGTTGGAGGAGGCCGAGGCCGTCGCGGCGTTCCTGAAGCGTAGTTTTGGGCCAGCCGTGGGAGCGGGAGCGATAGAAAAACCCTGTGCCTCGTGGTTTCCTACAAACTGCGTGCGGCGCGGGGCGATGTATTCACTGTCTGCGTCATCCATCGCTTGGACTGATGTTGCGAAGATGATTGGACTAGACTGAAGAAGTAAGTTATAGTTGGGGAGGTGTTCGTCCACTCGTTGGGGAAATTTCTGAAGGAAAGACGGGAAAGAACAATCTCACCACCCTCGTCCTCAGGTGCCAGGGGGAAGGCGTATGTCTAAATACGGTTGGCTGATCCCAGGGCGGGAAGAGTAGGGGACTGCTGCTCCCATATCTTAGGCAGCAAGAAAGGCTGGGCCGTTATCTTCGCATTTTCAAGACACAGAGAAAGCTACTGTAAGAGTAATTTTGTGTAACGCTCTAGATGAATGTAGTGACTGGTTGAGGTGCTGATAAGTCAAATCAGGCTGGCTCAGGAATGCCATTCGTTGTGAGCCTCCACTCTTCCCAGCCTGCAGAAGGGATGCAAGAACCCGGTCCGGTGGCTGCTTGGCGGGGAGGGGTTTCCAGCCATTTTTGGCAAAACGGTCTTTCAGCTGAAGTCATTATCGTGAAGAGCTCAAATACGATTGGACAAGCCAGGGATGCATGCACACAGCCTTGTGTCAAGTATGAAGGGCGAATTTCCCACCGCGTGATGTGTCGTAGTTGCCTGCAGCTACCTTGCACTGGATTACATATGCAGGATACATATCAATTTCTTCCGGGAGCTGGCTGTGAGAAGAAAAGCCTCCGTTCATCCACGCACGCCAGAGTGCCGATCCAAGAGCTTGGTATTATTGCTTAAATCGCAGAAGATCTCAAAACATCAAATGGTCGTCCCCAGCTGACATCCCACTGCCGCCCCCACCTCCGAGGAACGTGCTCCAGTCCAGCTCTGTGAGCTGCTCATCGCACCATCCAAACAGATCCATCCCTCCGTCCGTGGTCGCCGATGGTGTCCGAATCGTGGACCCCGCGTTAGACCCGCCCTCGACCTCCGCAGTGATAGCTTCATACAGTGCCGCCACGATATCTGGAGCCCTATCCGAGGCACGCATCCAGGGGCGCATCTCAGCGAAGAGTTCGAGGGCCTTGGTCAGACTCGCGCACCATGTCTGCAACGCGACGGAGGCTACGGTATCCGGAGACCCTGCGACTGCTGGAGGCGGATGATTAGGTATTGTTATTGAGGTTATCGGGACCGAGGTCGATGCGCCCGATGTTCGTCTTTGGGCGTTTTGGTGTTGGTGTTTGCGGGCTGCTGTCGCTCTGTGGGTTTCGATCGCGATGGATAATAAGGGGACCATGCATGCTTGGAAGAGATACCACGCAGAATTCCAGACATGGACGCGGTTGGGCGTCCAAAAGAGCGTGATGGCGTCGATTGCTTCTGACGCAACGGTGCGGCACGATTCGACGAGGGAGAGCTCCTCTTGCGAGATGTTTGAGGCGATGTCGCTGGTTGCGGAAGTGCTGCCTCGTTTGAGGCCGTGGTCGTGGGCGACATATAGTAGGAAGCAGCGGGAGAGGATTAGGCGGACGTTGAGGTATCTGTTCCGCATGAACTCCCGGGCGACGGTCAACCTTGGCGGGGAGTTGGCCGGATTCTTGAGGGCTTCGGGGAGAGAGGCGTGCCAATCGCGGAGCTCTCGGTCGAAGGATAGGGCCTCTTGGGCTGTGAGGCGCGCGGGTTGGGCGAAGCGGTGTTGTATCCGATCGCAGATGTGGCAGAAGTGACAACTAGCTCTCAAAGACGCTGCAACGTGGTCATCTGGGGTGAGAGGAGTGGGTAGAAGCGTGTCCATGGTGCTACTATCCCATCTACCGCAAGTCGGCCGGCCAAGAGTCATGCTGGCCCACGTATCCAGGCAGAAGAGACTCCACCACGTCCGTCGCCGGGTCTCGGTGCGGATACTGTGGTGTTCGGCGGTGTGCTCGGCGGCATGTCGGTGACTGCGAACAGGCTCGCGATGTAAGCCAAGGGCAATGGCCACGCGATGAGCAGCACCAAGGACTGCGTATGCCATGTTGGGTGAGTTGCGGTAGTGAAGGTAGTAGCCGCCGAGAAGGCACAAAGCCTGAAGACTCTCCATGTTGCCTGACCCCAGAGAGTCAAGACCGAGATGGGCGCGTGCTTGCTTGTAATATTGCACGTGTAGCGTGTCACTCCCTGACGCGACGGAGCCGAGAGTGAAGACCATGTTCAGAAGAGCGAGCCAAGAGTCATCGTGGCGGTTGCCTGCGGCGTAAGTGTTGCGAAAGTCGTCTTCATTCAAGATGGGTGTTATGGGGTGGATGTGCTCAAAGTAGAACTCGATGCAGCGTTGCTCGCGGAGGGGGTTCATTCCTTGACTGGCTGCGTTGAGGATAGAGAGAGGGGGCAGGCTTTGTTGGTAATGCGGCAACGATGAGGACTCTGTCCATGACTTTGCGCGCTGGGCGGTGTGTTCCTTAGCGGCTGGACAGAGACGGAAGATGGCTCTGAGCACGGCACTCATGGAGGTGACGCCCAGATATGAGCGGCGATGCTGGTCTGTTGCTAAGGATATTGCGTTGATGTCGTCACTTGCACGGATGGTCGCTGTGGGCTGATGAGCGGCGGCGGACTCATCCCACCGCCTGTCGTTGGCGGGCTCGCCGTTCTCAGAGATCTGAGTCGAGTCATTCGGGTCATTATCGTCATCGTCCTCATCGACAGTGGAGATATCAGTCGGTGAAGGATCTTGAGTCGTGGGTGGTAGGTTGTAGAGCGAGTCGCGAGGGATGAGGGCGACAAGCTGTGAGCGAGTCTTTCCGACGAGGTCTTCTACCGGGATGTTGGGGAATAGTTCGTTGAGAATGCGGGACTGAGCCTGAAGCTGCTCAGATGCCCGTTCAAGTGTGCTTTGATGAGATTAGCATGAAAGACATGAGCCGAGGTTGAGTGAGATGAGAAGAAGGAGTGAGACTACCTCCGGCTAACGGCATGCCGTTTACTGCGTTGCCTATACTCACAAGTGTCTGCAACTTTGTAGTACTCGCAACTCGCACACGGATGACCGCCGTCGCATTTGACTTTGCGCCTCGTACATTCCTGACATGACCTATTCACCTTCCGGGACGGCGTTGCGGAGCCTACCGCCGAGGCTGGCGGGCTTCGGCTGTTGAAGGAGTGAAACATTGCCGAGATCACCGACACCAAGGCGGTTGCGATCGGCACTTATACGGCCCCTCGGCAAGCAGCTGCAACGACACCAAATGCAACGGGGCACATTTGGGGTAAGCGGAGGCTGATTCTGTTGCGGCGGGAGAGGTGGAAAGGATGGCCGCACGCTCTGCAAATGAGGTGGATGGAAGGGGAAATGTGGGTTGAAGAATGGAAGGGTGAGGTGACTTTTGGGAGGAGACTTGGGTGGGAAATTTCGAGGAAGCTGACGCGGGGGAAAGTGGAGAACTGAACATGGGGAAAGTGTGGAGTTGGAGCACCTGGATTTGCTGCTCACCTGGAAGAGTCAGGGGTCGGGGGAGCGGCCGGGTCTAGACCGGGATGGGCCGGAGTGAAACCGGGGGAGCACGGTGCTGATGCCGGGGTGTATTTTCACATGTACACTAGGTTCAAATATGTTGCAAAACGCGATTAAACCTCGTCTCTTGCCAAGCCAAGTATTATTTCTCAAACAAGCTGTCCTAGAAAATGACCGACAGGATATGTTGCGCAACTTGCCCACTTTGTCAACGGACTTGATATCATTGCACCCTGTCAACAATAAATCTCGCCCACCAGAAACATACGTATGCATCATGGGCTTGAATACGGAAGAAGATATCGTCAAGTTCGAAAACGCTCTGGATCGGGCAAGCTTCAGTTTCAAACATTATCGGCTTCAGTTATGTTATCTCTTGAACCCTATTCTTCGTTCGGCAACCTTGGAGATATCCGCCATACCAGCCAGCCAGCACCAGACATATTGTGGCAGATTGATGAGTTATCAACTTGAAGATGGCCCGGTCTCTATATCTACTGTGGGAGGATTGATATTAGTTGACGGTCAAACATATGCCTTGACAACAAACCATAACCCTGAAGAACAACCAAGAGAAGCTCCGAGAAGAGAATGCAAGCAAGAGAAGGAGACTATAGAACAACCTATGATGAAGCCAGGAAAAATTGTTACAGCTGGGGATCGGACGCTTGCCCTGATCCAGCCATCTGACCGACTCCCGAACGTTATTGCGAACCGCCTTCCTGAGTCTACCATTGGGCGAAGTGAGCTAGGGGTTGTCAAAGACTAGTACTATTTTGACATGGACTCTCGAGTGTTTTTGGACTCTCGGAAGGTCTTGATTGCTTGTGGGAAAAGCGGCTGGAAGCAGGGCTTCATCTCCAACAGAAGGACCTTCTTACTATCCCAAACACGGAGTCTACAAAAGGTTTGGTCGATAGATTTGGGAAACAATAGTGAGTAGCGGACCATACTTTGACATTATGGGGAAATACTAACAGAGTGGAAGATTTCGAAGCTGGCGACTCTGGCTCCTGGGTTGTTCACAAGTACGATAACACTCTTATGGGTGTACTGATTGCCCGATCATCTCACAGCGGATATATGGTATCTTTCACAGACATCATGAAGGATATCGCAACAACATTGAAATTACTTCCACAAAATGTCGGTCTCCCCCAACCTGAGTTGGTACTCGATCTTGCAGATTGTGGTGAGATTGAGATACAAGTCAAAGAAGAAAGCGACGAAGAGGGCAACGAAGAGGGCGACAAACATGAGCCTGTTGTCCTGTCCTCTCAGAAACAGGGACAATATTGGAAGTCAAAGCACATGTTGTCTGTGCCATCGAAGTCTGCGCAACGCTTAGTGTGGCTACACTGTGCCTGAAAAGAAGATGGGTAGAATTCGGGTTTTTGGTCACTTTGCGCGCGGTAGCTGTCGGATTCTTCGGTATCTTTCAAGCTATCATGGGACCAAGCAGCTCGCTTACGCTATGGGACTCTCCCAAACTCAGGAACCACAGCTGGACATCAACATTGATGTTGCACACACCCTTATTCGGAACTCAAATGTTTATGGTGCCGCTTTTGCTGCTGGCGACAATGGGGCTGGGGCATCTTAAGGAGTACCGAAACAACGATAGAATGTTTCGAAGAATCTACCTGTCTTGAAGTTCGGGTTGTAGACGGTGTAGACGTCTTGGCTCTGGGAATACTATGGGGAGGCTGTCTACTCGCGCTATTGGTTGTAGTTAGACAGCGGACTATGTTCCTTGTCTGTGCAGGGTGGACTGTGGGTTTGGCTGTGGTCCTGATTTGTTGGTATACACCAGGACCTAGTCTCGCAGTCTATGAAACTATGTGGTGTAACGGAACCCTACGGTGGAATGAAGCTCTGTGGTGGAATGAAACTCTGTGGTGGAATGAAAGTCTGAGGTTGGATGAAAGTCTGTGGTGGCACGAATACTTGTGCTATACGAGTGGACAACTAAAAGACCCAGGACTTTCCGAGGCGTCGGTCGCGGAGATTGAACACGTTGTTCCTGGAGCCAATTCCAAATGGTTCATGGAGGTTGCGTTGTCTTTCCTGAACGTTCTGATTCTGGGGAGTCTTTTGGCATGGCTACGGGACCGAAGTTCCGATGAACGTGACAGTCAGTGTGCTTTCGAAATATCATAGGGTGAATCTAGGTATTCAACACTGGGCGTCGAGATCATGTTTTACAAGATTGTTAGCCATGTTGAGATCACTTGAAATCCTTTGTTGGTTCATTGTTGAGCGACTTCAAGTCCATAATGTATCCAAACTATCCGATAACGTTGTAGGAGATACTCGTTGGAGTCACTCTCCGTTATGAATCTCGTCCCAGTGCACTTCAGGGAATTCTTTCGAAGAATTATTCAAAAGGGGCTGTTCAATACCCAGGAGAACCTCATCAAAGAAAGCTCTGATAAATATCCTTGTGATATCAACCATCCTGTTGCCATCAATAGGCCCCATTGTAGCAGTTGTGCCGAAAATCTTCCAATATGTCCGATCCTCCCAGTCAGCATGCAAGCTTCCATCCACCGAGAACAGACGCCACCAACCAGTCTGCCAGGCTCGGTAATTGCTCCAAGTGCGGTCAGAGTTTGCATTGTGACCCCCGAAGCCCAGAATCATCGACGGCTTTTCCAGGTCGGAGTCGGAAGTGCTGTTCAATCGACCCCAGTTGGTACCGTCCACGTTGATGGCGGCGGCCACGGCATCGCTCTCCAGTGCCAAGGTGAGAGCAGCGGAGCCTCCGAGAGACACACCAAACGTGCCGAGGTCGGTGGTCTTGAAGGGCGCGTCGAGCTCTGCCACGAGAGAGAGAAAGTAGTCAATGAAATGAAGTTGCTGTCTGACCCTGACGGCGTGCAGTTCTTCGACCCAGGAAAGGGTGTAATTGTTGAAGGCTGGAGAGAGGCCATAGACACCTGTGCCGTTGGGATATCGCACAAAAGGTTGCTCGTAGACGTGGTCGAATGCAGCCACGACGTATCCTTCGATGTCTTGTCAGCACGAGCAAGGAAGATTGAAGAAACCGGGTGCTTACCGTGGGAGACGAGGTCAGAGATGGCAATGTAGCTGCCATCCGTCGGTGGACCCCAACCGCCGGGCCCGAAGAGAAGCGTCGGACCCGTTCCCTCTTCAAGATAAGAGGCATTCCACCGCAAAGTCGAAGTCAGGTGGGAGATGTTGTAATTCCATAAATCCTCATACAACTCAACAAGTTCGGGCTCGAGGTACGGCTTCGGACAAGGTTTCTCGTCTGTGGTAGGATAGTACAACGTAACGAGGTATTCGGTCGAAACACCGTTCGGCCACACGACGTCGTCCTCGTCTAAGAAGGGGACGACGAAGCGCTGGGCGCCGACATTGTACTTGCCCGTAGGAGCGGGGATGGGCTCTGCAAGAACTGTACGCGCGAGGGCCGCCCACAAACAGAGTGTTGGAGCCCAGGGAACTTGGAACTTCATTGCGATGATTGGGGATACGAAACAACGAGGCTTAAGACCGAGCACGCCAAAAGGTGTCATACGAGATGCTGATCTGTTTAAATAAGCATTCAAAAGCCGTTTTCTTCTTCTCGGCATAAGGTCGAACCCCTCCCGCGATAGACGTGGGAAGCCACTGCCAGGAACGATGCAGCGGCGCGAGCAAATCAGCCTAACTTCCATTCATTCCAGACTTGGACTTACCTCAATGAGGCAGCTGGGACCTTTTGCGCCAGACTCATCCCCAGTCTAGCAGGCTCTACCCCGCTGAGCGTGTGACAAGAGTCCGAATGTGCAATCTGACCAGGCCTGCTGGCTGTAGGTGCAGAGTGGGGGAGTACGTATGAAGCGCCTTGGCATATACGCCCAGGTAAGCTGACGGCGGAACGGGCAATCATGCCTCACCTGGATCACAAAAGACCGATGATTAATCTGGGTACACCCACCTTTGCAGTTCAGATACTCACTTTCCTGCCTCATGTTAGGAAAAGGCAACCCATATTTGTGTCCGGCATGTCTTCTGTATAAGATGAGGGTGAACTAGGTATTATAGTTGACCACTGGCACACTGAAGGAGAAGAAGTCATCAAGGAGTTGAGAAATGGAAGACAGCAAACGCTTTTTGATTAAACCTCCGAAGTCCACATCCACAGCATAAACTATCCAGACATATTCTACCTCTTCTTCGAAGGTCTGGCATTCTTCTCCATCTTCTTCTGCTTCTCCACCCTCGCCTTGCGAATATCCTCCGCCCCCTTGATCTCCTTTCTGCTGCCCGCGCCGTCCTTGAACTTGCCAATCCTCTTCTCCTTCGCCTCCGCGACCCTCTTCTTCCGCACCTGGTAGTCGTCGCGGTACTTGTCCGCCTGCTTCGGCGCCTTCTCCAGCTTGTGCTTGTACCTCGGCCCGGACTGGTCCACCGCGCCGGGCATGTTCGGCCTCTCCAGCCCGCCGACCTGCATGCGGCCCAGCCTGTTGGCCTTGCGCCACTTGTCGAAGCGGCCGCTCTGGAAGGTCGCCGCGATCTTGACACCCGACTCGCCGCGGATGAACTTGGAGCCCTTGGAGCCGTCCTCGTCGTTGGCGCGCGCGACGTACTTGTTCTGCTTCTTGTCCCAGCGCATGCCGCGCGTCTTGGTCGGCTCGCCGAAGCCCTTGGCCGTCTCGTCGTTGGTCAGGTCCATCGTCGCGTCGCGCGCGGCCTCCACGAAGCTCGATGTCTGCGCGCCCGTCGTGACGCCGTAGCCGCGCTCCTCGGCCGCGTTGATGGTGCGCGGCGTGTAGGACATGTAGACGTCCGAGTCGCGCCAGGAGTCGGGCCGCTTGTTCTTTTTCTTCTTGCCTTTGCCCTCGTCCGCGTTAGAGATTGTGACCTCGAGGCCGTCGTTGTCGTCTGAGTCGTCAGAGTTGTAGGCCTCCATGGCTTCGGTATAGTCTGCTTCCTTGCCCGAGTTTTCGTCTTCCTCCTGGTTGTCGTCGCCGAAGTCGCCCATCTCCGCGTCCGAGTCTTTGTCTTCCTTCTTGTTGCCACGGTGCGGGGTGATGCGTTTGCGCAGCTGCTTCATGACTTCCACTGCCTCGCTATTGGAGCCCTTTCCTCCTCGTCCAATCTCGAAGATGGTCTCGGCTGGTCTGAAGCCACTGATCTTGGCCATCATATCGTTGCGAGCCTGTTGGGCGTTGTTGGCGGCGGCGCCGAATAGGGGATGCAGCTGGTTCCAGCCCTTGGAACCAACAATCTCGCGAGCGCGCTTTGCGCTCTCGTAGGAAGCCGAGTGTCGGGTCTTGAGGTAGAGCTTCTCGGCTTTGACGGAGACACTGCGGAGAGCTTCGATGTCGGACTCCTCCTTCAAGATCTTGTTCATCCACTCCATGTTCATCTCAATTCTGTCCCGTGAAAGTCCACCGACGACGACATCCTCGGCGAATGATGGTTTCTCGCTTTCGTGACCTATGACAAGCTTGCGACCGAGGAATAGCTGCAGATCCAACAGGTAGGGGGTATCGAGTTCGCGCACAATGCTGTAGGCCCAACCTCTTTGACCGGCACGGGCCGTACGACCGACACGGTGAACGAAGACCTTGGGCTGAGGGGGGAAGTCGTAGTTGATGACATTTGCCAAGACAGGGATATCGATACCTCTGGCAGCGACATCGGTGACTACCAGGATGTTTGCGCGACCCTGACGGAAGTTTTCGGTGTTAATCCTACGCGCCTCCTGATCTAAGGAACCGTAGACGTATGAGACCGCAAAGCCGGCCTTGATAAGCATTTGCGCCAGATACTCGACGTGGTGCTTGGTGGCAGCGAAGATAATGGTGGAGTGCTCTGTTGGCTTTCCCCTTCCGTCACCCTCGCCGCGCTTCCGCTTCTTCGATGGTGCAATATCCAAGGGAACTCCGTCGGGCGTCCCCATCGGCATCTTGATGATGTCGTGCAAGATGTGCAACAACGCCGCCTCCTTCTCGGCACCCTTGACGGAGAAGAATGCGCTCTCGAGATCCGGGGAAACCTTGGTCTCGGCGTCCAATCTTACTAGACTCGGGTCCTGCAGGCCGGCCCTGGCGAATTCCACCAAAGAAGCTGGCAGCGTGGCCGAGAACAGCAGACTTTGTCTTGATGGCGGGAGGGCGTGCAGAATCTCGGTGAGCTGGGCAGCGAAACCCATTTCGAACAGACGATCGGCCTCGTCAAACACCACGTACTTGATCGAAGACAAGTCCAGGCCCATCTCGACCTTCAAATGCAGGAAACGACCAGGGGTCGCGATGACAATATCCGGGTTCGAGGACATGAAGCCGAACTGCTCCTCCATGCTGTCACCACCAACAAGCAGCACACACTTCAGATCGGTGCCCTTGCTGAACTCCTTGACAACCTTCAACGTCTGCAGCGCCAGTTCACGGGATGGCGACAGAATCAGCGCGCGGGTGCCGATCTTTGCGCTGTGGGCGCGCAGGCGCTCGATCATGGGGATAACGAAGGCGGCCGTCTTTCCGGAACCCGTTCGCGCCATACCGACGACATCTTTGCGATCGAGGATGATGGGGATCGTCTTTCGCTGAATCGGTGTGGGGACAGAGAAACCCTTCTTCGTGATCGCGCGGAGGAGGTTGGCGTTAAGACCTTGCGAACTGGTTAGCTTGGCCGGAGATGCTGGTTTCATGCAATGCCAGACGTACCCATGGCTTGGAAACCACCGCCCTTCTTCACAGACTTTCCCTTCAGGTTGGAACTCTTTCGGAACGAAGCTGCCTGCTGCAGCGCAATGAAGGCGGCGTCACCATCCTCCTCGCCCTCGTCCTCGCCCCCTCCGTTCAGAATCCCGTCAAAGTCGAAACCCGCATCCTGTCCGCCTTCGCTTCCGCTGTCGTCGGCATTATTGAAGAGGGCGTCGGCGATGTCTACTTCGCCGTCGGACGGCGTCGGTGATACTGCGCGACGGGGCATTGTGACCGGTATGCGACGAGCTGGGTTTCGTTGAAAGATTCTCGTCGACAACTGGGCCCTTGTCCTGTCGTGTTGGAAAGAGACGCCGTTTTGGAGGCGCCTCCAAGAAAAGTCCCAAGAGCTGGCGGGCGAGACCCATCGAAAAATTTCTTATCGCTATCCAGTGTCTTATCTTAGCGTTCGTGGGGCGCCGTATCGACAGGGATGTGACGTGGGCCCGGGCGTGTGTGGCTGCTGCGCACGCGGGCAGCCTGGTGCCCTTCGAACGTCCCTCAACCTCTGCTGGTCTCACATCTACACGAACCGCCGCTGCTTCCAAGTTCATCGCAAGACTTTTCCGTATCGAAAGTTTTGATCGCGAGCTCTGCGCATCTACACCATGGCCAGCGAAGACGTCAAAGAGGAGAAGGATGCCCTCGACGCGCTCGAGTTAGAGGCGAAGGAGTTCGACAAGGTATGTCAACCCGCAAACGGAACCCATCCCCCTTGATACCTCGGCGCATAGCTAACTGACCCCTTTCCTAGGATGCCGAAATCGACAGAATCCTCAAGGCCTTCAGGTTAGACGCCTACGCCGTTCTCGACCTGCAGCCCGGCGTGCCCGAGTCCGACATCAAGATCTGCTACCGCAAAAAGTCGCTCCTCATCCATCCGGACAAGACCAAGAACCCGCTGGCGCCCGACGCCTTCGACCGGCTGAAGAAGGCGCAGACGGAGCTGATGGACGAGAAGCACCGCGAGCGCCTCGACGAGGCCATCGCGGACGCGCGCATGCTGCTCATCCGCGAGAACAAGTGGACCGTCGACAGCCCCGAGCTCAAGACGGACGAGTTCGCCAAGAAGTGGCGCGACAAGACGCGCGAGGTGCTCATCGACAACGAGCACCGCCGGCGGCGGCAGGTGAAGGCGCAGATGCAGGAGGAGGGCCGCGAGCAGAAGAAGCAGGACGAGGAGACGGAGCAGCGCAAGCGCAAGAGGCAGCACGAGCAGGACTGGGAGGCCACGCGGGACCAGCGCATCGATAGCTGGCGGAGCTTTCAGAAGGGCAAGTCCGGGGACGGGAAGAAGAAGAAGAAGATGAAGCCCATTGGTTGATTGTGGAAGTCTGGTTGGGCATTTTGTTTCTGTTTTTCTCCGCCGCCTAAAACGGGCAGGCTGCTGGGAGGTGTTATTGGGGATTTGGAGGGATAATTCCATTATAACTACACAGGTCTCGGCTTACGGATACACGATCACACACAAGCATGGCACGGTTTACATCAAGAGAGCCAGTGAGTTTATGATTGACCAGCGCGGTTATGTCCCTAACTATGTCAGAAGTGCAATGCCCATGTTCCCCAAAAACTTTTCATTCGCTGTTTGCGAGGCGCATCTAGCCAGGTAAGCCGCATCCTTTTTCTTCCTCATCACGTCGTGGTATGCTCGCATTATGATCCTAAAAAAACATGAACTTTTGATGCACTTCGCCTCCATGCCATCCTTAGACCACCACCATCGGTAGGTCTCATTTAAGGCTGGTGCTTCTTCTTGTAGGAGAGGAAACGTGCGAGGTTGAGAACGACCTCGTCCGCGCGCGAGCGCAGCTCCGGAAGCGTCCTCTTGTCGATCGTCTTGACCAGGGCCTTGACCTTGGGCTGGGCCGCCTCAAGATGCTGCAGGAAGCCATCCTTCCAGAAGACCTCCTTGTCGCATGCAAAGTCCTCGTCGCCGTAGATGTCGAAAAGCTGGTTGAGCGCCTCGACCGCGTCCGCGGCCGGGGTCTCGGGCAGAGCCGTGATGACCGTGATGAGGAAGACGCCGATCTCGCGGTTGAGCTCCACCGGAGCGGGGTCCCGCGCGAGCTGGCCCAGCACACCTACGCACTTGACTCCCAGACCCTGGAAGGGGTCCTCGGGCTCCTCGTCCTTGGCCTTCTCGCCGTTTGTCGTTCCGTTCGCTTCCTTTTTGGGCAGGCTCTTGGTGGCGTGGTAGAGCGCCATGAACTTCTTGTGCTCGTCGCCGGTGAGTGGCGCGCGGCCGGGCAGGCTGCGGGAGACGGCCCAGGCGAGGCTGGTGACCTGGGTGGCGAGGTCGACGTCGGCGGTGTTGGCGGCGAGGATGGGGACGATGACCTTGCCCCAGACGGCCTTGCCGGAGGGCGTCCAGGCCTTGAGGATGCCGGCGTTGTGGTCGTCGGCGAAGTCGAAGACGGAGATGGACCAGGCGATGTTGTTGAGGGCGGACAGCGCGTGGCCCTGGATCCTGAGGGCGTCGTCGGACTGGGCGGCGGTGGTCGCGAGCTCGATGAGTCTTGGGATGGCTTGTTGGATGAGTTCGCGGAGCGTGGGGACGTCGTCCATGTTCGCCTCGCCCTCGACCTCGTCGTCGGCGCCGGTCACCATCTCCATGTCGGCCATGTCGTCCTCGTCCATGGAGTCGTCGTCGTCATCGCCGACGTTGTCTTCCTCCCCTGAAGCTTTGTCGTCGATGTCCTCGTCCATGGCGGTATCGTCTCCGAACCCGTTCCATTCCTCGCCTCCCTTCTTGTTGCCGCCTTGCATGGATACTTGGAGGGTGGTGCCAATGTCGGCCAGGATCTCCAGCGCGAGCTGGAGGACCTCGGTCGGGTTAGACCATTGGCTCTTGGGTGGCAAGTCAGCTGCCGGCTCGGAGCCCTGGAGTGCTGATGACAGAGTCGGGATGAGGGCGGCGTCGGAGAGGTTCTTCTGACCCGGTGTGCTGTCGAACCACTCCAAAGTTGTGAAGATGTTGTGCAGAACACCACAAGCCAGGACGCCCTTGGCATCGGCAGTGGCTTGCAGCTTCGTTAGGGTCGTGAGGGGCTTGGGGTCCTCGTCGGCCACGACGTCCTCTGCCAGACGACGGTTGTCCTCAGATAAGGTAAGGAGAGCAGATAGCGCCTCGAGGCAGATGCTTGACGGTGAGTCGGCGTGAGCTACAAGCGTGAAAAGGAGGTTCTTGATGCCCTCGATTCCAACGATGGCCTCAAGGATCTCATCCTGAGCCTCGGCGAGTGCAGACAGGAGTGCGACGACGGACTCGGCAATGGCCCATGTGACCTTGGCCTCGCCCTTGCTCACTGCGGAGCCCTTGGCCAGGTTCTCGAGAATCTAGTAAAAAGTTAACCAACGAACTCACTTGAGATATTATATGAATGGGCACTTACAGCCTGAGAAGCAAAGCCGATGGCACTGAGAATATCCAGGCGGTACAGGTGAATACAGAAGTCGGCCTCTTCCTCCTCGGCGATGACCCTCAGAATGTCCCAGCCAGCGGCGCGGCTGTCGAGGTTTGCGTCGGTCAACGTCTCATTGAGAACTATGTGGACGATCTGCTCGCGCAGCAGCAGCTTCCGGCACTTTTCATCGGTGACGATGTTGGAGACGGCGGCGGCGGCGGCCGTGCGGGACTTCGGGTCGGAGCTCTTGAGGTCCTTGATGACGGGCAGAATGGACTTTTCCCTGAGGGCGGCCAGCTCAGGGTCAGAGGGCGGCTTAACGGTTTTGGCGATGGGGTCCTTGCGATGGCTCTGGGCGCCTCTGTTTCGTCTGGACTTTCCCATCGTGGCGGGGTTTATGGGTGAATGAGTAGCTTGAAACAGGGGATACGAGAAATGAATGGCCTATGTGGAAAATATGAGACTTTCGCTGAAAGTGAGGGGGGTTATTTGTGTTGGAATTTCTTCGTGACCGACCTCTGAAAGCCGCCCCGCGATTGCGCTTCAGAAGAAAAAAAAAAATTTAGAAAACGGTTGCTCGGGGCAGCCACATTGTGGCTCGTGTGGCGCCCCGCATCGTGGTGCACCACCACAGCGATGACATTGCAACGCCTTACCTTACTGAAGGAAACGTGGACGCACAGCTGTCGGGCAGGACTGAGAGTGAAAGTACCTTTCCCCACTAGTCATTAAGCTGTGCCACGCTAAATTCAGGAACGGTACTTTCGCCCAAGTCAAGTCCCCCCGCCAGCTCTTCGCAGTCCGTCTCTTCAATTCATGATTCGAGTGACACAACTTACTGCGACAGACTGCACGGCTTTCTTCGCCAACAAGCAACACCGCTGCGAGGTCACTGCTTTACGTTGCCATTTTTGGATGATCTGACCGGCCATTCTCCAAGCCGGACGGACACCTCACTCGATCCTCCAACGGCACCCAGGTCCCGCGCGTCCGTACCCCGGATCCTTTCCAGAACAGCAGCCCAGGGCCCTTGGAAACGCCACCTTTCTCCAACTTTGCACGACGGGACCAGCTTCTCCTCAGCAAGCCGTGTGTTTCCTCGCGCATGAACCACGTCGCTGATCGCCGCCTCTGGAGCTCTCATCGCAATCGAAGCTCCCCCTTCCCGAGGTCCCGTCTCCTCGTCGCGGTCCGGCCAAGCTCCACAGATCCACCGTCCGACACTTGAACCCACAAAGCTGCAGCACGACACCCGCTTGCACAGCCCAGCAGCAGGGACGCCGGCGCAAGGAGCAAGGGAAAAGCAACCCTGGCCAGACGAGACGCACTTTCAGGTTAGGGACACGCTACTGCGCAATAAGGTGCGCAATTGCCGGCACCAGGGAACCGCCCGTCAGAGTCACAGCAGAGGTCGGGCAGGTCCAGTCCACGTCGGAGCAGAGGGAAGGGCGAAGGGACCACTTGTTGTTTCGTTCCACACACCTTTTACCTGGCCAAGTCCAAGTCCACGTCAAGTCAAGTCGACGTCCCGTCCTGACCTGTCCTCTTGCTTGGAGCTCGACATCCAGCTAGCTGCATCTACGAATCCGTTGACGGGAAGATGTGAGACGCCCAAGCAACCCTCGGATCACCTCGTTCCCTCCCTTGCAGCTGCACCACCGGTCATTACAGTCGCCCTGTCATCGACGCTTCGATTCCACTTCTCTTCTGCCCTCTTCTTTTCTTCCCTTCTTCTCCCCCTCCCTGCTGTGCTGCAGTTCCGTCTCCCCAGATAGAGAAGCATGCCGGACCCATGGCGACAGCTACGCTCCCTCGTTTTCCTCAGCGATGAAGAGATGGGCAAGAAGGACGACGACCACTACCGCGGCGGCGGCAGCAACGTGAACCCCATGCTGCTTCGAAACAGAAACCCCCAATGGCAGCCGGCCGCCAAGATGCCATCCCGCCGTCTCTTCCGACGCCTCGCCTACCTCTTCCTAATCGCTGCTGGTATCTGGTACTTCCTCGGTGACCTCTCCTTCGCCGAACGACGCCCCAACTACATCTACCCGTACACCGACGGCGCCCGAGACTACATCCCCTCCCCGATCCGCGATGGTCCTCCCCGGAGGAGCGGCGGCGGTCGCAAGGCCAAGCCTGGAACGCCCATGCCGCCGATCGCCGAACACGACTACAATGGCCCGGTCAAGTTCCACCGTCTGGCGTCTTCGCTGCACGCAATCGCTGCGACCAAGGGCGGACAGACCATCAACCAGAATGTGCTTTTTGCGGCATCAAGTCTACACAGCGCGTCGACGTTGCTGCCATTCGCCTGCAAGATGGGCATGGAGCTGAGGAACTATGTGCACTTTGCGGTTATGGGCCGCAGTGAGCTCGAGCTCGACGAGATCAAGAAGATCAACGGAATAGACGACAGCTGCTACATCATCTGGCACGATGCCCGCGCCGACTTCTCCTCCCTTTCGACTGACGCCCGCCTAGAGCTGTCCGTCGTCCGCGGACTTCGAAACATCAACACCTTCATGCACCCGCAGGCGATCATGATTGATGGCACTGACGACGAGCTCTTCCCGTTCCTGAAGGGCATGCGACAAGAGGCCTGCGCGCTGAAGATCCCGCTGATCGAGCTTCCCAAGGAGGCGTCGAAGCAGCTCTGGTGGTTGTCGAAGCTCGATAGTCCGTCGCTCGCAGCCTGGAACAAGGTCAGCGTCGATATTCTCATCCAAGCCCCGGCCAGCGGCTCCGGCAGCCTGCTGCGACTGCTGAGGTCACTGAACGAGGTCGACTTTACCGCATTCACGATCCCCCACCTTACCATCGAGCTGCCGCAAGACATTGAGCCCGCGACGGCCAAGTTCCTCGAGGATTTCCACTGGCCACCCTCACACGTGGCAAATCCGGGCAGGACGCAGATGTTGTCACTGAGACACAGGATACCGCGGCAGCGGATGACGGAAGAGGAGAGCTCCATCCGGTTTCTAGAGTCGTTCTGGCCAACGACGCCTAGGTTTTCTCATATTCTTGTTCTCTCACCGCAGGCGGAGTTGGCACCGGGTTTCTTTCATTGTGAGTTACTTGTGCTTGCGTTTGGGTTACCTAACTAACTGCCCCTAGATCTGAAATACTCTCTGTTGGAGTACCGCTACTCCGGGTACTCGGTAGTCCAGAAATGGGACCAGCGTCTACTTGGCATCAGTCTGACCGCCCCGTCAGTCTACTTGAATGGCAAGAAGGCGTTTGTGGAGCCAATTTCTGATGGCCCGGACGAGATGGGCACCTCCTACATGTGGCAGGCGCCCAGCAGCAACGCCATGCTGATATTCGGCGAGAAGTGGGTCGAGCTCCACGGTCTGGTATCTCAGGTGGACGCGTTGAAGAGCTCGCGCGCGCCTGAGAAGATTCCAGAGATGGTGACCACCAAGGAGGTTAGCAAGATGTTCCCCTCTTGGCTGGAACACGTTCTGCGGCTATCTCGATTGCGAGGTTACTTCACGGTCTATCCCAGCGCCGAGACGGGCGCCACAGTAGCCAAAGTACACAACGAGCTGTACCGGGGCCCTGAAGAATACGAAATGGAGGCCGACGAACGGAAGAAGCTCAGGGCGAATCTGGCAGAGTCAATACATCCCTCCGAGTCGCTCGTCCGCACGCTGGACACCCTGCCGAACAACGGCACCCTCACCCCCTGTAAGGATCTGCCGATGCTTGGCTGGGAGGGCGATAGCATGGGGCTGCGGGACGTATATCAGCGCGCGGTGGAGTACATGTTTGCATGGCGCGAGGTCGTCGGCGGGTGCAACGCGGAAGCGAAGCAAAGCGATCACATTGACGGTTCCGCGAGGGACCTGTTTTGCACGCCTGACGGCAAGCTCAAGGGTTAAGAAAAGAAACAAGAGTGCGCAAGACGCAGGCCGTGTGTATTTCACATATATAGACTGCATTTCGATATATACCCACGGGGGATGGATAAAACACATCAGCAAGGACTGATGCACGGCGCGAGCGAAAGACTGGGGTTGGCATTGGGAAGCATAATAGGCGCTTAGGAAAAAAGAACTTTCTGAATTAACTGTTTCTTTATTTCCACAAAATATGCGATGCAGTGAAGTCTGTCTTGAGCGTGTTGTCTGAGGTGTCGTTGTCGGTGCTGGCGAGCTTGGTGATGACCAGGAGGACTATGCACGTGCCCACGATGCTGAGGGCCACGAAGGAGAGGACGAGCTGCGTCCTCCAGCCGGTCTGCACGATGGCTGCTTTGCGGCTGTATTTGTTTACCGTTTCTGTTATTTTGGTCAGTTTGGTCACCTCATTTGGGTCAAGAGACGGTTGTTGGGAAGAAAACGAAGAGGAAGCGACAGAGAGAAAGAGGGTGTGTGTCTGAGATGGGGAGAGAGAAAGAGGAAAGAAACTCACTAATGTAGTTCCCTATGCCGAGACACAGACACGAGACGGCGAGGCACCAGAAGATGACGCCGAGCGGCTTCGCCATGCGCAGCTCGAGCTCGCTGGGCTCGGATTTGAGGTGGAAGGAGAGGACGATTGCGACGGAGACGATGGACATGTAGACTGAGAGGCGTAGGTATGAGAGGAATGCTGTGAGGGGCACGGTTTTTATGTCAGTTGGGTCACCAAAGAGTTAAGGACTTGAGGGGATGGAGAAGTATGAAGAGAGGGAAAGAAGGGGTGGTGGCGGCGCTTTACTTCTCTCATTCGCGCAGTGGTCCCGCGCATCGCTGGACTCATTCTGGAAGAGCAGCGGGCCGAGGATGGGCCAGGCGAGGAATGTCGAGGTGCCTGCGTGGCCGTAGCCGCTGTTGATGGGAGGTCTTGGTTAGCCTGGTGTTCGGAGCGTGGGTTCATGTCTGTGTGGTTTTCTTCATTGCGACTTCATGAGATGACGTCGGGGTGTCATGGGATGAACGCGGGCTGGAGTGGACTTCGACGTACCCGATCTCGCCGACCTCGACCGGCCGCAGGAGGCTTGAGGGCCGGAGGGGCGCGCAGCAGGTGAAGGTGAGGTCTTCGTCGTCTATTTGCGTTGAAGACATCTTGAAGGGCGTCTATGATGTGGGGAGTTCAGCGGTGCGATGGTGCGAATGAAGCCCGTTAAAGGTTCGAGAGATGAGGATTTTGGGAGGGAAATGATGGTGCTGGATTTGGTCACAAGCGCCATGTATGAGGTGATTTGGGCACTGTACAGAGTTGCGGGAAGTCTGGTGGCGAGGAAGGATGTGCGGGCAGTGGATAGGCACTGTGCGGCTGTCGCGGTTTGAGGACGGCGACCTTCGGTTTCGGCCCCACTTATTCGGGCGGGAAGGGACTTCAACTTAGCTCCCATCATTCGACGATGCCGGTCAGGCGTAGATGAACCGTTAATTAAAGAG